GATTATAGAAAGTGGGGTTCCTGGGAGAAAGCCTGGGGTACCTGAGGCAACAGAGGGTGGTAGATGGCTGAGGAAAGTGGCTACTGAAGAACTGATAAGGAAGTATTTGGATATTTTAGTAACTTGGTTTAGCCATAACAGTGTGTGCTGCTGAATATCAACTCAGATATTCATGGCAGTACTTCATGTAGCTGTAGAATACCTTATGCCCTTTCAAAACTTTTCTCAGCTCATGTATCATGTGTGCTGGTGGTGACGGTGGAAGATAAATGTTTCTCAGCTTCCTTGTATTGTGTGTGGGGAAAGTAAGACACAGAGATGGATTTATAACTTCCTCTACAGCCTCAGAGTAGTTGCTCCTCACACTGGGAATATGCCATGAGCCTAGTGATGCTGACTGCTGTGAATAGAGACATATCCTGAAGACTTAATTTCACCAACAGACTTCTAGACACCGTTTTCAGAGTGACTGATAATATTTCTATGGCATCTGAGGGAAAGCACTATAAGGAAACTCTGTGACACTCCAGCCAGGGGCTTAGAGAACTGAATGTCTTTCACAGGAAAATAAGAAGCCTGAAATGTTATAGAAATGTTGTCCTGACTCACAAAGTCCTCATTTTCCAAACTCACATATGTCAACATAGTCAGATCTAGAGGGACTCCAAATGAGCTGAAATGTCTTTTTTTCCCCCCAAATGGTCAGTCCCATAGCCACCAAGAAGCCTTCACTTTCACATCTATGGTGTTTCCTTCTTACTGAGCGGGTAGCAGGAAAGGTGTCCATTTAAACATTCTGTGGGGCTCCTAAAGGGGCCGAGCTCTGAGATCTCTTGGTCCCAAGGGTCATGAGTCCCCTTTATGGTACAGTCCTTAACCCACCTTTGCCACATGGAGGGGAGGTGCTCAGGGGCCTAATCAGTCCATTGACAATGACGTGCAATGAAAGAACATAATATATTCTTAGTATTTTGTATAGACTTTTATATATTCAGTTCAGGGTAACACTTACAGTTACATGGCATCTAGTGACCTTATCCTCATGGACCCACTCCCTGAGGATCATTTCCACTTATATGAATGATGCCCTCATTCCCGGGTGGATCAAGTGACATGTGGAGTCAGTGCCCTTGTCAAAGTTAAAACTGGTACCTTCTTATGAATAGCCCATTGAAATGAGCTCAGAAATGCTTCCTCTTAAGGCCTTCACTCCAGAGCACTTTACTGATTAACGTTTATCGAGATATTTATGAAGCATCAATTTGGAGCCAGAGACTATCTCAGGTATGAACAAGGTAGAAACTTCTCCAGAAGACCTTATAGCACTGAACAAGATAGACTAGTAAATGAACATTTTAGCTAAAAGTGAGTTTCTCAGAAGTTAAACATGGAGCTACTCCATGATCCCCAAATTCTACACCGAGGTATCCATCCAACAGAAATGAAAACATCCCCACACAAAAATGTGCACAAGAATGTTCACAGCAGCATCACTTATAACAGCCAAAAGGGAGAAATAACTCCCATGTCCATCAACTGATGAGTGGATAAATAAAATGTGGTAAATCTATACAACAGGATTAAGGATTCAGCAATAAGAAGGAATGAAGTACTAACGCATGTTACAACCTAAATGAGCCTTGAACACAGTATTTAAAGTGAAAGAAGTCAGTCAGAAAAGGCCATGTAGGGGATGATTCCTTTTAGATGAAATATCCAGAATAGGCAAATCCAGAGTCAGAAAGCAGATTAGTGGTTGACCTAGAGGGGATGGAGAAAATAAATGGGGATTGACTGCTAATGGGTATAGAATTTCTTTTAGAGGGTGATGAAAGTGTTCTAAAATTGACTTAGAATATACTAAACCTTTATTCATAAAATTATTATTTTAGTTTAGTATATTCACAAAATTAGGATTTTGGGGGAAATGGGAAGAACACTGGATTCAGCATCAGAAGACCTGGTTTGGATCCACAAATCACTGGACTTGATTTGTCCAATGACACATTCTTCAAACTTTTTCTGTTTTCTCCATCTTACCAAATGATCTTAGCATCCTTTCACCCAGTTAGTCAAACTAAAAACTCACAAGCAACCTGAAAAGCACACCTCCCAATCTGTCACTTCCTGAGCTAATCAGTCATCCAGTCTTACTGATTCTATTCCTTTGATCTCTTAAAATATCTGTCCTCTCCATTGCTGAGCCTTCTGCCACTCGCTGACATCATCTCTCACCTGGACTACCGCAACAGCCTTCTCTAAGTCTCTCCACTTTAATCCCTCTCACCCTCCATGTCATGGGTGTGATCTTCCTAAAACAAAATCCTCGTGTCCCTTCCCTGCTCAAAACCATTCAATGGTCCACTATTGAGTCATGAGAACAAACACATATATAATCTGTGTGGGCCAGGCACTGTCCTAAGAACTGTGGATGCGTTATTGCCAACTCTCACATCAATCTATGTGCCAGAGCAGGGAATCAGGCAGAGAGAGGTAAAATCACCTGCCCAAGGCCATGCTGGGAATGAACTGGGGGACTGACCCTGGGACATGCGCTTACAGATGTCATGCTAGTCTCCCAAGGATGGAGGCCAGACCTCTTCCACCATGACCTAGGCCCTGGCTGTCCCTAGCTGTTCATGTGCTCTCCTGCTCTCCTATTACTCGCTGACTGAAGTTTCTCAAAAGGGCTTTACTTCTCTGGGCCCTTTGTCAGTACCTTCCATCTAAGTGGGCTCCGGAAGTCTTTCAAGCCTCATCTTAGTCATCATTGCCTTTCTAGTCTTCCTGACTCTCTCTACCCACCCCTACCCCATGATCCTTAAACATGAGGTCCTGAAGCTGTTTTCATATTGGGTAACATATGTACATATGTACATGTCTTTTTCTGTGCCAGGTCTTCACTGAGGCGTGTGGGGGTTTCTTTAGTTGCAGTGTATAGGTTCAGTAGTTGCAGCATGTAGGCTTAGTTGCCCCACGGCATGTGAGATCTTGGTTCCCCCATCAGGTACTGAACCGGCATCCCCTACACTGAAAGGCAGATTCTCAACCACTGGACCACCAGGGTTCTTATACATAAGTTTTTTCTAACAGCTTTTTTGAGATATTACTCACATACCATGCCATTCATCCATGTAAAGTGTACAACTCAATGGGTTTTCGCATATTCATAAAATTATAGTTGCACTAAGAACCATGCTTCTGCCTTGAGGTGGGTTGCCTGTTATACTCCTGGGGTATGATGTCACAAGGTCACCTCCGCAGCACAGCCAGGCGCGGTGAGCAGCCCCGGAGGCAGGGGAGCTGAAGGCAGAAAATGAAAGGGCACGGCAAGCATAGATGCCAGTGGCTCTAGAGTGAGAGAACGTTCTGGAGCAACTGAGATGTAACACTTGGAGGCCAGTTGTGACTAGATCATTCTGTAGAGCACAGCAGCATAGCCGACAAAAACCTCAGGCCACCAGCCTAGGTATGTAGGAAATGTAATCTTCTTCTTCCAGAATGAGCTTACATCCCACTCCAAGCCTCCATTCTCCATTCTAGACCTCCTGCCCTTTTCTCCCAGGATAGTCTAGAGAGGACTTCCTAGGGCTTGAGATTTCTCCCTAAGCCCTTCTGCGTGGCCAGTGAATGCACAGCATCTGATCTTGGGTGGAAGGTACTTAGGACACGTAGGGCAGATTTACTAAAAGCTGGTGAGTGTGAGACTAGCACAGGTGCCTGGCTTAGAGTAGGTGTTTGGTAAACATTCGTGCTTGACATGAATGGAGCTAAAAAAGCAGCAAGAACAACTAGGGTATCAAGGATGTCGATTGTATTTCACACACCCATTTTCTCATCTACGAGGCCCATCAACATCACTGTCTTGTGGCCCTTCCTTCCTTGAAGTGACAACCATTTAACCTGACAGATAAAACCTTGCAGATATGTTTTCATGGGCATTGCCCCTCTTGGAGTGACCGTGCAGAGCCCACCTGTGCCTGGTTAAGCAGGCCAGCCAGTGTCGAAGGGGAGCCCTCTGTGTGCTCCCAGACACCAAGAAAACAATTCATTCGTTTTGTTTGCTCTGCCTTGGCTATTTTTTGTTGTTGTTGTTGTTGCTATTAACGTTCTTTTCCTGCCAATGGTCCAAGTGGGATGCTACTACATATGTCTAATGAAATGGGAGCTTTGTGTGGGTGGGTCTAGTGATAGTCACCATTAGGACAATTCTAACCAATACCCAAAGGTGACTCTTTGGACAGTTCAGAATAAATGACAGTGTTAAGAATAGTGCTCCTCAGGGACTGGAGGCTGATGGCCTCAGAGGGCTTGGATTCCATCTGCATTCCCAATCCTGGGAATGTACTTTCTCACCTACACAGGGTGTGCCTTTGAGAAGTCCACCCACATTGCACTCCCCAACTCCTCCGCGGAAGGCTGACTGCCTCTTTTCCTTGAAGTCTTGAAAGGGGTCTGTGCTTCTCTTAAAAGTCAGCATCAGCTGGGGACATGTTAAGCTGGGGGCCACCAGGACAGCCCACATGTCCATGTGAGCGTCACCCTGGGGGGGGGGGGCGGTCTTCCAGCTTTTACGGTCCCTCCTAGCCTGACAGCTGAATCAAATCCCCCCACTGAGCCTCCTTCCCTCCCTCCTGGATACTTCAGCTCCAGGACTAGAGCCCCCACCTCCTCTGAAGCAGATGCCAGGAGCCTTTGAAACTTGCCCTTGATCTTTGGAATCCTGACTCAGAGGCTGGGTGTTCCAGCAGCAACTGCTAGGGTGCAGATCTTGGAAAGGCCACTTCTGAATTGTCCCGGCTCGGGCCCCAGTGACAAGCTCTGCTTCTGTGAGGTTTGCAAGGTGCCAAAAACATCTCCAGTGCTCTGGTAGGAGCAGCCAATGGAAGCCACGGCTGGGACCCCTCCCACACCCCCTCAGTGGCATCCCTGCCTCCTGCCTCTCTCCCTCCCTCCCTCCTGGCCTGCCTGACACAGAAGTGAGGACCTGGCAACCTCAAGGTCTGCAGAATCCTCTTTGGTCCCCAGACAGCCTCAGCCTTTCCAAAGATGGCCTGGAGACAGCTGTTTCTGATCTGTCTTGCAGCCATTGCACTCCTGTCCAGTAAGTATGGGGAGGTTGCAGGATGGACCTGGTGTTAGGTGAGGCGATTTAGGTGGCCCAGGTAAACAGGGTGCCTCTTGTTAAGATGGCTGTACTTGTGTGTGCATGTGTCACATAATGCAGCACAGGGAAAAAGCTTGTCTGACAGTTTCCTGGGGAGACTGACGGCGGCTGGTACTTGTATTCAGGGCTCCAGGGCAAGTCACAGGGCCTGGGAAGGACCGCCCTGGCCTGTCTGGGGGTGAGGACTTCCCTTGGGGTGCTGCAGCCCTCACGCTGTGCTCTCGTCCCACAGTGCTGCGGGAGGGGGCCGCTGTGTCAGTGGGCATGAGGCAGGTGGCAGGACAAGAGGCACAGGATGGTGAGTACCGGGGCCGCCCGAGGGTGCGGGGTGGATGGGTTGGCTCCTGAGGTAGCCTTGGTGAGCCCGTGTGACCGGCCTCTCTCCTCGGGTTTCAGACGTGGAAGAGATTTTCATGCAGGAATCAGATGCCTTGAATTTCCTCAAGAAGCGCAGCAAGCGATCCCCTAGATCCCAAGACGAGGTCAATGGTAAGATGCTGCGGCCTGCCTTCTGCTCTTGCTCCTTCCTGTTCCTTCTCTCTCCCATAGTCAGCTGGGCTGCGGGGATGGCCAGGGACCGAGGACTCAACTCAGGTCCTCGGGTGTCAAAGTAACTGTAGCTCTGAATCAGAAGTTACACCATGTTTCTTTGACTGTAGGTCAGTCTTGATTGGCTATGCTGTCAGGGTAAGGAACAAAGAGGGACAGGGCCACATGAATGCACTGAAGCTGATGAACTGCACCTCAATTTCTGAAAGTTACAAATGTTAAGAGGGAGAACTTCCCTGGTGGTTCAGTGGTTAAGACTTTGCACTTTCACTGAGAGGACACGGGTCAATCTGCAGTTGGGGAACTAAGATCCCACATGCACGTGGAGCAGCCAAAAAACAAAAAAAAAGTTATGGGGGAAATCTATGTTCTGGTGGAGTGCGGACACAGCAGCTCAGCGTGTGCTTTCTGGATAATTTGTGGTGTACCTTTACAGGCAAGAAAGCAGGACTGCAGGCAGGAAGAGGCACGTGGGACAGGGAACTGGAAATGTGGGTTTGGTGACAGCTTTGCTGCTAAGTGGCCTTGACGACTTCCTCTCCCTGGGCTCAAGTTCCCTTATTTATAAGCCCCTTATTTAAAGAGCGGTGTTCAGCCAGCAGTGTTTTTAAGTCTTCACTTCCAATGCAGTTGGGAGACTTTTGAGCTTGGAAGGATGTTTCCTCAGCCTAAAGTTGGCCTTGGTATCCCCTGCCTGCAATGACCCTCATTTCCATGACCTGCCGACCCTTGAAAGCATTTGAGTTTTCTGTCCTTGAACTAGATTCTTCTAAGGACTCAGCTCTGACAGTCGCTGACTCCAAGGCTTGAGTCGTCATTTCTGTGTGTCTGAATAAACTCTTTGTGCCTCTCAGCACACTCAGCAAGGTAACTCGCTCAGTGAAAATAACAGGACTGTTTTCAAATGATGGGCAAGAAGTGAGATGAAAATGCTTGGAGATAAAATTAGCTTTTATTTATTTATTTTTTAATTGGAGAAGTACAACCCACACTGGGAGTATCTCCAGGCCTCACACAATTTGGGATTTAAAGGTTAGCAAATGTCAAGAAACCCTGAAAAGACTGTGATGGAGCTTGGGCAGTTCTTGATGGAAATGAGAGAAGCAACCTTCTGGCAGGCTCCCAGTGGGGAATGGGTGTGAATTTAGGAGGCGAATAGTTTCCATCCTTTAAGGGGATTCAGAACGAGGTGCATGATTAAGCCAGAGATCTGTCACCCGGGTTGGAAGCTCAGGGTTTCAGGCATGGGTGTCCAGGACAACCTGGTGAACACCTCGGATGCACCTGAGTTCATCTGCTGTCACCCTGTCAGCTCTGGCACTGGGCAGGAGAACAATGCCCACTTATGTCTCAGGTTCAGTAAAGGAAGGCGACACTTTGATAAACAAACTTGGAAGCAAAAAACAGGCATCTCCTATCTCTAAGCTTCTGGGTAAAGATGCAGGTTACTTTACAGTGAAAGGAACTAATCAGAGGAAAGGCATGTTCCTGAGGAGGGATGTATCCTAGGTACACAGTCCATGGTATAAAAACAGCATCCAGCATCTTGTCTTATTCACTGCTGAGTCAGAGATCCAATTTGTGGCTCTCGTAGTTCCAAGATACTTCTTTTGATGAGGCTTTCACTGGAAAGCTCCATAGGCAGGAAGGCCACGAGTAGGGCAGGAGAGCTAGCAGTCCCTCAGAGTGCCTCACACAAGTATGGTGTGATTTCCTCATGTCACAGTGGGGAGACTGAGGTGCTGTTGAAAGAATTTCCTCCAGACAATCACAGTTCTCACACTGAAGAGGTCAATGTAAAGATGACAACACCATCCACCTTCAGGCCCTGTGGTGATTTCCACCATAGCAGCCACAATGTTGGGTGCAATTTATTTTCCTATCTTTTCCTTAAGCGGACTACAGACTTCTTAGGCAGAGGGACAGGATCTTTCTTACTTGCTTTTTTAATCCCAGTGCTTAGCATATATTCTGGCCATGACAGGTGCTCAAAGTTGCAGAATGGATATTCAAGTGTTAGTATAAAGTTGGATTATTCCCTCATGGAATCCATTATTTCTATCATCTGAGAGAACTAGTTTCTGGGAGGGCCAGGAAGCTTGGCTACACCACTCAATTTTATGACTAGAGCTAAATGGCTTCACCTTTTGGGGTCTCGGTCCTCTAAAGTCACAAAATGAGGTGGTTGGCTGGGATGCTCTCCTGGGTCCCTCAGGTTTTAAAGTCTATGTGAAGGGTGAACCACTGCAGTGAGGCCCCGCACTTCCCCCTCACAAACAGCCTCATCGGCACCTAAGTTTCTTATGCAGAATGACTGGTGCCCCCCTCAATGCATGTGGCTGCCCCTATTCTTGGGGGCAACTCTCGCCTTCCCCTCCCCCAGTGGAGAACAGGCAGAAGCTGCGGGCAGACGAGCTGCGCAGAGAGTATCATGAAGAGCAAAGGAACGAGTTTGAGAACTTCGTGGAGGAGCAAAACGACGGTAAGAGCTCATCAGCCGGTGACTTTTGGGAATTGGAAGCTTGTGGGAAAACCATGTGATCTGCCTATACTTTTCCTTAAATTTTATTTATTTATGTACCAAGTTTGCATTAGAGGAGGAAGATAAGAGCAGCTCTACTTTCAATTCATGTCTATGGGAGTCTCAAAAAAATAAAATAAAAAGGGGAGAAAGTCACAAAAGTAGCTACAGAACCTGAGAAGGCATGGAAGAGGCCAGAACACGGAGGGTACCCACTGGTTGGGGACTGTGGGGCTGGGGAGTTTTTGGTTGATGGTGTTTTCTCCTCCTACTTGGGAGTGCTCTGTCTCAGTACCTACACTTGTGCCATCATTCCCAGGGTTGGGTTGGGGGGATTTCAAGCTCACTTTCAAGTGGCTTGGATTTACATCAACGTCATGGCTCTAGAACTGCCCATCCTGGAAAACCTGGGACTTCACTTCCCTAGTCACTATTATCAGCATTTTGTGACTGGTGGAAGCAAACCCAACAAATGAACTCAGTTCTGTACCCTCCCCACTCCAACTTGAACATCTACAGCCCCCGGGATGGCTCCCCTCACTCAGAGCATTGGACCCCTGCAAGGTCCTATGTGGTTTGCAAACCCATCCAGTTGCTGTGAGTGTCTTATTTGGAAAGCCTTGGCCTTTGCCTGTGTCTCTCTCACTAGGCAGTCTGCACACCTCATCCCCACCCTCTGCTCCTGGGAGATGGCTCCAGCCTCGCCTTGGGAATGCTGGTTTCAGCAGGGCTTCTGGGTGTGGGCATGGGTGGATGGACACTCTACCTTCGAACCACAGCCTTCCACACTGAGGGGATTCGACTTTGTATTCATTGACTACTCTCACGTGTCACTCATGGCCAGAAACCCACAGAACATGTACAGGGTTCAGACCAGGCAGGCCAACGTGTGTGTTTATTACTTTTTTGCTCTTTCTTGAAACTTCAAGATTGAAATGCTTCTGAGTAAGTTCTTGGATGCAGATGAACATAGGCATTAAGACCCCAGTTAAGGTGACCTTTGTTAGAGAAAGTGTGATTTCATTTCTAAAGTCACCAACCTCCTCACTTGCTCGCTCTGGTGCATTTGAGAGGTGAGGTGCCCTTAGAGCATCTCTTAGTGGAAAGGACACCATCACCAGGTCCCAGAGGGCTGCAGGCCACACTGACTGTCTTGCAGGTGACACCTGCCTGAGCGCTGCAGACAGGTGTTGGGCAGGATCCTGGCAAATCGATCGTCCCAGAAAAAGCTAAGACTGTTGTAACTCGGAGGCAAATATTTCTGTTACAAATTTGTTTAACTTGGTAGACAGCTTGGGGCAAGGCATTTAAAAAATGAGAATGTGGCCTCTAAAATTCTTTCAGTGTTTTTTTTTAAACTCATAGTATCAATAACAGCACTTTATTTTGTGCATTTTTAAATGTTTCAGGTCGAAGTCCCTGGCCCCTGGATGGAAAATGTTCACTGTTTTCCTTCCACAATGAATCAGGATGAGGGGTGAGGCACCTGAGGGATGCTAGGTTCTCCAGCAAAGCTAGAGGAGACTGAAGCTTAGGCCTCGGGTGCTGCCCACAGATGAAAAGGCTGCAGGACACAGGCCTTTGGGGGATGTGGTGACAGCAGCTATTGTCATGGGTTGAGCACTTGTCCTGCCAGACTCTGTACTGAACTACATAATCCTATGGCCAGTTCTTTGGTCTTACAATTTCCAGTTTACAGTTTCAAAAACCCAGTCTTTGAAAGAATATGTGAATGTCCAAGGTGACATAGGTAGTAAGGAATTTAAACGCAGGGGTGTTTTACAGCGAAGCCCATGTTTTTGTAAACGAAGGATGATCAAATGCATCATAGAGCTTGCTATTAGCTTCTATTAACTTTCTATCTTCCCATCATTCTCCCCAAATACTCAAAAAAAAATTGTGGTAAAATATACAGAATATTAAATTTGTCACCTTCACTTATTTTTTTTAAAGTGTACAATTCAGTGGCGTTTAGTACATTCACAACCACCACCATTATTTATTTCCAAAACACTTTCATCACCTCAAATTTTGCACCCATCATGCATTAATTCCCCTATCCCCACAGCCTCTGGAAACCTCTAATATAATCTCTGTCCATACAAATTTGCCTATACTACATACTTCACAGAAGACAAATCACACAATATCTTTCTTTTTGTGTCTGGTGTGTTTCACCTAGCACGTTCCAAGGTTCATTCATGTTACAGCAGATATTAAAACCACATTCCTTTTCATGGCTGAATACACACAGACATATCTAGACATTACAGTCTATCTTCCCACATTTCATCTTTTTCACCTATTCCCACATGGTAATTCTGTTTAACTTTTTGAGGATGCTTTTTAAACACTGATGGCCTTGGGATGTCTGCTCATGGTTCAGTGGTACCTCACAGTGGCTAACAAGGACAGGGAAGTCCATGCAGTTGCAAAGAGTCCGACACAACTTACCAACTGAACAACAACAGTGGCTAACAGGCAGTCCTGAACTGGCATCAGAAGCCTAATTCCATAGCTTCACAAATGTGTTATTTGGATTCTTACCAGTTGAGCCACAACGGAAGCCCTATTCAGAAACACATCTCATCAAGGACAGAAAATTGAGATTTCTTACTCATTAAAAACTCCCTTCTGTTCTTTCTAGCTTTTTACTATGAAACATTTCAAAGATATGGAAAAATATGTATTATAACAAACCCTCATATAACCATCACCCAGAATCAGCAGTTATTAAGATTTCCCTGCACTTGCTTGGTCCAGCCCTTTTCCCAATTAGTTGTAACAACGTAACTTTATTCTTTTATTTTTTTTTAATTTTTTTTATTAGTTGGAGGCTAATTACTTTACAATATTGTAGTGGGTTTTGTCATACATTGACATGAATCAGCCATGGATTTACATGTGTTCCCCATCCCGATCCCCCCTCCCACCTCCCTCTC